AGAAATTAAATAACTTAATTTCTAGGAAAAATGAAATATTCTTTGGAATCATTTCTAGAGAAGAAGCAATAGATACAGATCAAACAGAAGGAAATGTAGTTATTCCTGTTATCTGTAAAGAACAAATTCTTTCTACATTGAAAGATATAAAAACAGAAACTAGGAATAAAATCTCTTACTTACATGTTTCTACTATACAAATGATTCTTAAATCAACTTATAGTTTAGGAATAGATTCTCCCATTACAATAAAATTAATTGATAATAGAATGATTAATTATTTTGATGCTCTAATAGCAGAAGGGAGTGGAAATTTAAAATTTGGTAAAATTAAGTTTAACTTAAACTACCAAGTTGGGATGTCCTTATTAGACAATAATTTAGATGATTCCATCACTTTGTGTTGGAACATGAAAAGAAAAATAATGAAAACTGGAAATCATCCATTTTCAGTAACATGGAGGATAAACTATGCATTGACTAACAGTCATCACAGTTTGTCATTCAAACCTCATGATAAAATTGAAATAGATGAATTGTTTTCACCTATATTACAACTATAAGCACCTAGAAGGTCCTTTCAAGTACATAGAACTTCATCTTTTGTTAGACCTAAAATAGAATATGTTATTCCTAAACAGAATAATGAAGAAAATGAAGCAAGTTCTTCGAAAACAGAAACTTATACTGAAGTAATCATAAAATCAAATAACAATATATATAAAATTGAACAAAAGGTTTAAGAGATAAGTAAAGAATTAGGACTAAAAATATGACAAGTTCTAATAAAAGTTTTAGAAATTTTAGCTAATATATTAATAAGGGTAGAATTGTATTTTTCACCCCTAAAATGGCTATATTTCATCTTTTTAAAAAAAATGGCTGTATTTCATTTTTTACTTCAAAAAAGTGCTAAAAACCGGCGGCTCTCTATTAATAATATTAATAACAACAAAGGAGTGCACGCTAAGAACATCAACATTGCAAAAACTGCAACTCTCCTCATATTATGTGATTTAGACAATTACTAGTTATCATCCTATGCACATGCACAAATGTAAATAAAATATTATAAGTAATATGTGTGAATTTAATATTAAAATTATAGATGATAAACATATCACATTTTCAAGATGTTTGAATTTAATATTAAAATTCTAGATAATAAACATATCACATTTTCAAGATATGTGAATTTAATATTAAAATTCTAGACAATGGACATACCACATTTTCAAGATTTAATCATTAGTAAAAATAAAATAATATTTATATAAATTATTTGAGTACATATGAATCACTATATTGATTAAAAAAAATTGTGGGTAATGTAATTTTTATAATTTGGAGGGATCATGGTCAAATAATTTACTTGAAAACTTTATTAATTTTTATTATTGTAATAATAATTATTATTACTATTCTTATTTGATTTTAAAGTTTTTTTACTATACTACTAAAACTATTTACTAATTGTTTCTAAAGAAAATTGTTTCATGAAATACAAAATTAATAATAATAATAATAATAATAATAATAATAATAATAACAATAACAATAACAATAATAATAATAATAATAATAATAATAATAATAATAATATCATTCATAAAACCTAATTAAGTGTAATCTTGTATTTATAAATCTAATTAATAAAACCTCATTTATTTTCTCTCCAAAAGAAGTTACAAAATTTGTCATTCATATTTTGCCTTTCACATTAATACACCATATTAAGTGTAATCATGTATTTTTTT